AAGCTGGCCGAGTGGGCTCTCAGTGATGGAGACTGCAGCCACAAACAACCCTAAGTCTCCGCCAGGTACCCTGCGAGTCCACATGCAGCCCTGTGGGTGGAGAGCCTTTCGGCTAAGGTCACGTGTAGCCTTGGCTAAGGTCAAGTGCGGACGGAGACACGGAGGCTCCAAAGGCCTCTAGTTTGCCCAGAGTGAGCGCCTGGGGCAGTGCAGGTTTGAACATACAGACACCTTGGGTGGCTTTCAGCTGGTAAGCATCTTTTTTGCCCACTGTTTAGCATGAGAGCAGTACCGGGGCCAGCCAAACAGATCAGCGGATTAAAGCACCTGCAAGCAGGTTCAGGGGCCAGGGGTTCGATCCCTGGGCCTGCTGTACTGGCCCCACCCTTGGGGCATGCTGAGATGGCAATTGAGACTGGGTGTGGTGACACATGCCTGTAATCCCAGCTCTTGGGAGGCTGTAAACAGGAAAATCACTATGAGTCCCATCTAGTAGTGAAACTCTAAACACCCTGTAGTTCCTTCCCTAAAATACAGAAAAAAAAAAAAAAAAAAAAAAAAAAAAGCAGTACCTCTTGGTCTGGAGCCTTGGAACTGGCCGACCCGGGGCCTCAGCCTGTAGAGCTGCCCACGGGGCAGGGGCTGGGCCAGGAGCAGGGCAGTGAATTCTGCTTCTCTCTCACCCCTTTCCCTTCAGGCATTGCCTGTCATCTGCACTCTAGTGTGCGTGATTCTGTTCTTCTCTGCCTTTGTCCCCATACTGAAATCCCTGCTAACACCACTCTCTTTGGAGTGTCATCTGGGTGTCGCTAGTGGGGAGCAGGGGCTGGGGGCACACTGCTTGATCTTTGTGGGTTTTACATCCTTTGGAGTTGGGACAGAGCTTGGACATGACTTCTTCTAGGGCCCTCACTGTAAGAGTGGAAGAACAGAGGACATGGGGCCAGTGGTGACACAGAGCCTGGAGCAGCACCTGCTGGACACTCAGGGCTTTGACAGAGCCACAGCTTTCCTGGAGCCAGCAGGGAAAGTTCCCAAGGGCGGGTCCCCTGGGCAGAGAAGCTTAGCTCCAGAGAGGGGCCCCGGGCATCCTGGCTCTTACCCAGGGGAAGGCTGAGGCCAGCTGGGGAGGGTGCAGTCTGCAGGGACATGGATGTGAGAATCCGGAGACCTTATTTAGCTCAGTGGGAACAAGGCCCAGCGCCTCTTCCGAGAGAAGCGGCCCCTGGAGGGCACGGAAGGCACCCGCCCAATTCCATCCAGTGCTCTGCCCATCTGGCAGCCACATGTTGGGGTGCTGCTGGGCCGCTGGCCTGGCTACAGCTCACACCACTACCCTTAGGGGATGGTGGGCCTGTGCTGGTGGCCCTGGAGCCTTGCCCTCCTACATCCTGGGATGAGGGGCTTCCCCACGCATGGTCCTCTGAGGATGTATCCAATGAGCCTGCAGCACGCGTAGACTGGCCCTCAATTCTTCCCTCTAAAGTCTGTTGTGTCCCTAATCTGATGGTACCACGGTGGGGGAATCATGACTGACTCACATAGGGGACAAGGAGGAGGATGGCGAGTCTCAGAGGACAGTGACCCAAGGCCAGACCTGCTTTCTCTTGGGGGCGTTTTATTCCCTAATTTGGGACACTTTGGTTTATTAACCTGTCGTTGTTTTGAAGGTGGAAAAGAAAACTCTACCCAAGTTTCCTCCCCAGTGCTTAAGGAAATAAAAGAATAGACATTGCACTGAGAGGGGCTGGAGAGATAGCTCAGTGGAATAAGCACTTGCCTGGAAAGCAAAAGGACCTGAGTTCAATCCCTGGTTCCACAAAAAAAAGAAAGAAAGAAAGAAATTATACTGAGTGTTAAGGTTTGGGTCTGATTGACACCCCAAACCTCATGCAGTCATGGGGTGGTTTCTGGAGTTTGTAATTATTGTCGGTGTGGGAGCTGCTGCCGCTCCCCTTTGCTCTCTGCTCTTTGCTGCCTCCGCGATGGGCTGCCGCACTCTGCCGTGTGCCACTCTGCCCTGGAGCCAGCTGAGTAGGGACTGAACCCTCCAGTAACTGTGAACTGAATAAACCTTTCCTTCCTTCATTTTGAGTGTCAGGGTATTTGTCCCAGCAATGAGAGAAGAGTAACTGAGACACTGAGGAAGAGAAAGCCTTCCTCTATGATTTCTGAATTGAGTTTATGCACAGATGTTTGGCACAATTTTTTTTTTTTTTTTATTGTAGAGCGGCTACAGGTAGGCTTTGGACCTGAGACTAAACTAAAAACAGAAAGGCAACAGCAATGGTTATTGACACACTCACCATTCTGCCTTGAAAGAAGAACGAGACTCAAGACTTGTCCCTCTCTCTGAGAAATATGACATGCACACTCCCAGGGACAGCTCCCTCACTGGTGGCTCAGCGTCCAGGCTGGGCAAAGCCCACCTATGATGTCACAGTCCACGTCGATTTGTATGTAGAAGAGGATTCTATTTTTTCATATGCACAAAGACAAGCCCAGCAGTGACAGAGAGAGAGAGTGCTTTAGAGAATGCGTGTCTTGGCGTGAATCACATTGACAATAATCGGAGTCTAGCACATCTAAGTGATTGTCCAGCTTGGAAATGCTACCCAACCATCTCCAAGCCTGCTGACTGTGCCCTGCCCTGGGGGACATGGTGGCTTAGGTGTCACTCTGTGAACAGGAGCCTAGAGGGGAACAGTCACTGCAAGGGTGCCCATGGAGTAGGGGGCTGCGGCATGGTGGTCGCTCATGGCTTACAAGCAAGGGCCAAAACCTTGCATATGAGGCAAGCTGAACTGAATCATTACGGGCCTGGGTGGTTATGAAGAGACTGGGTTGGAGGTCATTTTCATTGAGTCCCTAGAGTAGAAAGGTTGCCCAAGGGTCCGTGGGGAGTTAGTGGCTGACCTGGGACAAAATCCAGCTTCTCTTTTTAATCCCCTGTACCATAGTGGGAGACAAATGGAATCACCCAGGTTTGACACAATGGCCTGTTCTGTGATGAACTGTGCCACCCCTTGGATTTGGTCACTGAATCCCTGATCTCCAGAACCTCAGCCAATGCCAGTATTTGGAAACAGGGCTGTTGAAGAAATGATTAAATTGGGGCTGGTAAGGCAGCTCAGCGGTCTAAAGCACCTGCTTAGGCCACCTTAGGCAACCATAGGGACCACTGTTCAGTTCCTGGTGCCACATGCCATGCCAGTCCCACCCTCAGGGCAGGCTGAGCAGGCCACAAAAAAGAAAGAAAAAGAAAGAAAAAAAGAAAAGAAAAGAAAAAAGAAAAAGAAAGAAAGAAAAGAAATGATTAAATTAAAACTCATCCTCTACCAAGTCAGGATGGGTCCTAATCCAATTTTATTGGCTCCCCATCCTGCCTCTTTGTTCTGTGCTAGGGGCTGGACCCAGGACCTTTGCTAGGTCACTAAGTTGCCCAGGCTGGGCTTGAACTTGCAATCTTCCTGTGTCAGCCTCCCAGAGGTCTGGGATTTTACACTCATTGGGATCCTTATACAAGAAGATTCAGATGTATAGAGACCTCAGGTGTAAGGGGCATGAGGACAGTGTGGAGACACAGCAACAAGGTGGCCACCAGCAAGCAAGCCCTGCGCAGAGGCCAGGAGATACCTTGATTGTGGACTTCTGGCCTCCGGGGCTGTGAGACGTGAATTCCTGTGGTTGGAGCCGCAGAGTGTGCATAGATGGCAGCAGCCGAGTGCAGCCACCCAGAGCCCTTAGGAGGCACCAGCTGGTGGGGCTCCTCTATGCTACTGCTCTTGCGGGAGCCCCAGAGTTGCCCACCATGGCTTTGTGAACGCAGGACCCCACAGTGTCATAAAGACAGCAAATGAAAAGTGGATGTGGAAAAATATACAGCAAACAGTACGGCACGGTCTTGCTGCTCAAAACCTCAAAATCAGCACTGCAAGCCAAGCCAACAGTGGGAGAACCGAGCTGTCCTGCTGGCTGTGGTTTCTCCCTCTGCTGGTTTCTGTCCAGGGGCTTCATGGAAGGGGCTGCCAACCTCCTGGCTCAGCTTCCCACCAGGAAGACAGACACCACACTTACATCTTCTGATGGCGTCTCACTTGTTCCGTGTCACCCAAAGAGGAGTAGATGCTCCCCTCTGTTAGGACTAAATTGGCAGCCCCCAAAAGGTCATAGCACCCTGGGGGGGCGGCAGCTGGGTCACTCTGAGTCTAGCTTGTTTAGGCTCAAGATGCACCAGGTGCCACCCAGTTTGGCTCCAAATCCCATGCAGCCCCTGTGAAAGCTACTTTCTGCTTAGCTGGCAGAGACCCCTGTCTTTGCGATTAGGTTAGGACCTTGGATGGGAAATGTGGCCCTTGTGTTGCGGGGGCCATTCTCCCAGGGCTGGGCACAGCATGAACTCAGACCAGCCAGGTTCTCAGAGTCTCCTTGCCAGAGTCACTTCTTCGGGTTAAGGCAGTGAAGGCCCCGTTAAAGAGGTCATCAAGGGCCGTGTGTATTAAGACATCTTTAGCCATTAACACCTCTTTGTGACTTAGTGCTGCCCCAGCCCCCACCCCAGCCCCCAGGTCCAGAGACTGCGAGCTGTGGAGGGCTGGAAGGAGGAGAGGGTCGCACCCTGGGAATAGAGGTGCACGGCCAGATGCCCCTCGCAGAAGGAGATGAGGGACCGGAACAGGCAAAGGATCTTTCTGGGCCATGCAGACCTCCTTATCAGAGTCACTATCGTTCCTCACAGCCCAGATCACGAACACGTGGGCCACTTGGCAGACACCGAGGCTGGCTGCATCTGTGTCAGGAACTTGGCATCTCAGAGGTGGCCTTGGCTGCGGCTGTCAAGATGGGAGTTCGGAAACAATGATCAACCGGAACACAGTCCCCTCCGGAGGTGCTGGCTTCCCTGAGCCACTGCTGTGATTGGCACTGCAGAGGTGGGTCTTTACCCATGTTCTGGGCCAATCAGTACACTGCTTGGCTCTAGGGTCCAATGGGATGTGCCCTAGAGCTGCTCCAGGAAAAACAGGGAGAGAACAAGGTCAAGTAACCGTGGCTAAGCAGGAGGCGGCCTGGGGCTCAGGGCCTGGCAGGGGGGAAGGGAAGGGATTCTCGGCTGTCCTCAGTCCCAGCTGGGTGTCGGGAGAGCTCAGCAGGGAGAAGAAGACATCTGGTCATAGTCGGGGCACTTGAGCAAGGCTGGGTAGTTGCTGCTCATCTGCAAAGAAGCATCGCTGGATATGTCAGAGGGGCTGCGGCCCCGGATCCAGGCATCCGGGTGCAGGAACTGACCAGAGTAATCGGAGCAGTTGCTCAGACGCGGGCGGTAGAAGCCGGGATGGGGCCTGTACATGTCCTCGGCCGTGTACCTCTTCATGAACAGGTACACCGACATCACTCCAGCACTCTGTGGCGAGAAGGAGGCAGAAGCGCTGTCACTGCTGGGGCCTGGCCGGGGTCTGCATGGTGCACAGCCAAGGGGGACACTGCATTGGGTGGGGTGGCTGCTGGATATGGGGACAGGAGTGGGCCTGGAGATGGCCCAGGTGAGGGAGACCTGGAAAGGCCAGAGCGTGGCCCACGCTGGGAAGGAGAAGGGATGTGGGATGGTCCAGGATGCTGAGGGTTACCTTCCTTTCCCTGGCCCGATCGGCAGTTCCCACCTCCACCCTGCCCGCAGTGGCCCAGGCAGTGGGGCAGGTTACCTCTGTCAAAAGAAAGGAGATGGCAGCAAAGGCAAACGACCACCCGTATTTGTAATTGAAGTAGGTCTCTGCATCTTTGGTCCTGTTGAGCATCTCATCGTTGATGCTGGAGATGTAGAGCACCAGGCCCACAACGAGCGAGAGGCCTGGGGAGGACAGGGAGAGGAGGGCATCTCAGTCCAGCCTGGCACTGAGGCTCCCAGCTTTGCTGATGTGGCACCAATCCAGACAGCCATCAGCCTCGGGTGGCAATGCGTTCCTCTTGGAGTTTGAGAAAGAGCAAGCAGGAGCCTCCTCAGGCTGCTGTCTAGACCAGCGCCTTCTCTGTAGCATACAGCTGCAGGTCAGAAAGCTCCCTGCCCAGCCGCCAAGGGCCAGGCTTGGCGGTTCTTGCCCAGTGGCCCACACTTGTCTGATGGGCCTGCCTGAGCATCAGCCCTGTGCGTTCGCTTTCTCTCTGGCTGGCCTGGGGTCTGAACTGTATTGTCTTCAAAGTTCCCCAGGTGGCATTAGTGTGAACCCAGGGAGTGAGCCACTAAGGTAGCAAGTGCTTTGACCAATCAGGAATAAAACAGCTCCCTCAGCAGCATACTCAGGACATCCGGTCCCTGTCTCCAGGGGTGGGCGGTACACATCCGTGTGTGCCAACCGGTCTGGGCTGGGGTCTGTGCAGGATAAGTGTAGCGAGTGTGACCAGATCCCAGCCAGCATTTGACCAGGAGGCCATTAGGACCCAAAACTCTGTCAACATGCAAGCGACTGCCTCAGGCATCAGTCCCATCAATTAGCAACTGTAATTGAATCAAGGCATAATTAATTACTCTGTGTTGAGCTGTTCAAGTTTAATTTCATCCCTATTGTTCTATGAAATTGGGGCAGCTCAGAAGATAACTGTTAAAGGAAAATAGTTGAGATTCAATCTTCCTTGGTACTTAACTCACACTTGCATCACTGCTGTCCCCAAATGCCTCTTCCTACTGCTATCACTAAAGCAATTTCAAGTGGCCTCGCTCAATCCTAGATTTTTTTTTTTGTAGTGGACATCAAACTGAGAACCTTGCATTTGCTAGGCAGGTGCTGTGCTAAGCTGGGGAACTGTATCCCCAGCCCAGTCCTAGATATTCAAGCCTCTAGCCCACTGCTGAAATCTCAAAGCTTGGGCTATTGTGATGTTCACTCAAGGAAAGATAAAGAGCTTAAGCTGGGTCTTAAGTACTTCTCATGTGATTTCGTGATCATGTGGAAGTTGGGTTGATGGCATTGCGGGTGTTGTTAGGTTGATGGCTGAAAGGCTGGTAGGATGGATGGCAGTGGGCTGGCAAGTAGGTTGGAAAGTGGATGGCGAGATAGAAGACAGAATGGGTGGGTGGATAAGTGACTAAATGGAAGGAAAGAAAAATAAATAGTTCCTTGGGCATCAGGTAATCTGACTGAACATGAGCCCTGTGCGTTCTCTTTCTCTCTGGCTGGCCTGGGGTCTGAACTGTATTGTCAGACCCCAGGCTGAACTGTATTGCCCCCTGGCTTCCAAGCTATGTTGTCAAGAAAACGTTGGGAAGAAGATCCCAAAGGAACCTGGGAGCTGGGTGGTAACCAGAATGACTGATGCCCAAGAGTTGTTTTTCTTTTCTTTCAGTCCATCCATCCATACATCCATCCATGCATCCATCCATCCATCTATCTGTTTGTTCATCCATCCATCCATCCATCCATCCATTTATTAATCCACCTATCTATCCATCCATTTATCCATCCATCCATTCATACACTTATCGATCCATACATTCATCCATTTATCCATCCATCCATCCATCCACCCATCCATCCATCCATCCATCCATTTGTCCATCCATCCATTTGTCCATCCATCCATCCACCCATCCATCCATCCATCCATCCTTCAAGCCACTCGTGTATCGTCTTTCCTTCAAGTCTCCTGTCTTCAATCAACCCATCCAGGACAATCAAAATACATGCCCCGAGAGTCATTCTTTTCTTCAACTCAAAATATTCAAAAGAAAAGGTCTTCTGAAACACACAGGTCATCATTCCTTTGTCTTTTCTCCCCACACCTTCCCTGTGAGCATTCACACCCACACCCATGGTATATGCTCCTGTTCTTAGGCTGACATCCCCCAAGTCTCTTGTCTTTGGTCCTAGTGCTCCATGAGGCCCAGGCCCTCACCTCTTGTGGCCTTCTATAAATGTTCCAGATGTCACATGGACACCTCATATCCAGCACATCCCACACTAAGCTCATGATCTTTGCCCAAACCTGCTCCTTCTCCTGCACATCGCTGGGGATCCTGCCTTTCCTCAGTGCCCAAGCAAGAAACTGGCCTTTACCCACAGTTTCCCCTTGGAAAGCCCAGCCCTGGTCCCACTGAGTTTTCCTCCCAAACAGCCCTTAATCCCCCCTCCTCCGCTTATTCTGCGGCATCATCCTGGCGTGGGCCACCATCACCTCTTTTCTGTGCTCTGGGGACAGTCTCTCTTCTTGGGTCTCCCACCTCCTTCCTTGGTCCCTTCCTTCCTCCATTCTTGAGAGCACATGTTCTAATGTCCAACCTGATCATCATACTTCTTGGTCAAAATGCCCAAATCAGTAAGATGCCCAAATCAGGTTCCTTCCCTGTGTCACCTCTCAGTACACTTCTCTCCGTGTCCACCAGAAGATGCTCTGCACTTCCCTGCCCCCGTGTCCCACCCTCTAGCCCTCCAGAATCCCCTTTCCTTCCACTCTAGCCTCACTTCTTGCCTACTCCCTCCTCACCCTCAGCTCACTTTCTGGTCCTCTTCCCTGAGCAGCCCTTGGCCTGGCCTTGTAGGTAGTAATGCCAGTGCCCAGAATAGAGCTTGGTGGATACAGTGATTTGGTGAATAAAGGACATCCCAGGGCCAGTCCAGAGAGATAGTTTCATGCCACAGAGGCTTTGTAGGCCCAGACTATTGGGACCTGGTACATGAGTGGGGAGACAGTCTCCTGAAGGTAGTCGAAGGCTGGGGCCCAAGGGATTATTGCTCAAAGGCAGACTGGATTTCTTGTTCATGACAAAGTATGAGGACACAGTTCCCTCAATGATAGGTATGCTTGTCACTTCTGGGAGCCAGGGAGAGAGTGGGTGTTGTGTGGCCTGAGAGTCCTCAGCTCCCATGCCTGGAGAAAACCAGCCAGGGCAGATGTGCACCAGCTCTCCAGCTCTTCTGGGAGGTCATGGGTGGGTCTGGGGTATCCGAATTCCCCTCTAGCTGTAACTCGATTTTGCTCAGGTCATCGACTTGACTTGCTTTGCCAGGGACTGACCCACAGCCACGACCAAGATTTCCTAAAGCAGAGCTGTCCAGGAGTTAAATATCAACAGTCTAACATGCACGGAAAGCAAACAAGACAACTTACCCGAGAGGATAAAGAAGATGCCGGAAACAAAGGCCAGTATTGTCCTGTGGGGACGGATGTGTCCTATGTTGCTCAGAATAAACCCAATGAACATGAAGAAGAGGCTGACCAGAGGGAACGGCGTGGCTGAGCGAATCATTTCTAAGGAAGGGGACAAAGGACCAACCTGTCAGTTCCAGAGGCCCTACTTGCTGGTCGGCATCCCGGGCAGTGCGTGGCGGTGCTGACTAAGCCCTCAGTCCTCCCCCCACGTGCGTTCCCAGGGCCTGTGCCCCACAGGGGCCTGGGGAGCTCTCAGAGTGGGCAGGGTGGAGTGTTTGCTCCTGAGGCAGGGCTGGAAGGCCTGATGCCCCGCTGTCAGCGTATTCTGGGCCCGCCTTCTCCTTCAGGTGGCATCACTTTCCTCAGGTACTCTGCTTTCCTCAGGTCTGCAGCTGTGAGAGGCCTGGCCACCACATCTGGCTTGCTCTCTCTCCCCAGGACTCCTCACTTCCGTGGGCGAGGGGCTGCTTGAGCGGCACCGAGAACACTGACTGGCTTCTTCAATTTGTAATCACATGCGAATCAGTTCTGTTGCATAACATAGACTTTTTCTGGCCCAGGCAGGGTGGTGCACACATGTTTGGAAGGCTGAGGCCAGAAGATTGCAAGCTCAGCCCGGGTGGGGCAATTTAGTGACTTAGCAAGACCCTGTCTCAAAATTTTAAAAAGTTAGGGAGGTTGCTCTGCGGGTGAATGTCCTGGGGTCAGGCCTCAGCAACATCCACGCATGTGCACACCATGTCTGGTCTTTGTCCACGTGACAGGAGTGTCTGTTATTCCTGCTGGGCTGCTGCTGCTGTGCACTCTGTAGTGACACTTACAAGGGATGCAGCTAACCTGAATATGTACAGACTTTCTTTCCAGTCACCAGACCCTAAACAATACAGCGTAACAACCATTTACATACACTGCACTCAGAAATGCAACTCCTGCAGATGATATGAAGTACAGGGAGGGTATTGCAAACATGATGCTATTTATATAAGGGACTTGGGCATTCCTTGACTTTTGCGTCTGCAGTGGGTTCTGGAACCAACTTCTGCGTGTACCAAGGACTTGTATCAGGACTGCATTACAGGTTCACTCGGGTCAGAACCACCGCTGGTGAAGTCAGGGTCGTGAAGACGGCCTTGTTGCCTTGCAGAGAGGTTGGCTCAATTCCTTGGGCCTAAACACATTTCTCACTTGCTGGAGTCATGACTCTGAGACTCTGGCAACTCATTTTCTCCCCTAGGAAATTACTTGGAAGAGCAAGCTCTAGTGACCCAGGCCTGCACAGCCAGCTGAGGCTGGGGCGTTAGCTCTGTTTTGAAACAGGGTCTTGCTATGTAGTTCAGGCTGGTCTTCAGCTCACTGTGTAGCCCAGGCTGGCCTCAAATTTGCAGTGATCCTCCTCCCTCAGTCTCCTAAGAACTGGGATTAGAGGGGTGTACCTCGGTGCCCAGCTAGGCACTAGCTCTTGAAAATAAGCCAGTCACCCTGGTTCTTCCCCTTGGCCTGTTCCTCTCTGTCTAGCCAGTGGCCCACGTCAGAACTTTGAAGAGACCTACTTAGAACGTTGACTGTGGACTCAGATGTTAGCTGGGAGTTCATGGGCATCACATATTCTATGGTGAAGCAGCGTCCTCGTTCCTCACCTGGGGAGACAAGAGTGATACACATTGCTAGGCGCTTCTTGAATATGGATTGGAGGTTAGTATGCTCCAGTGGAATTTCCAGAGCTTCTAGGACTTTGATGCACAGTGTCTTTGTACCTAGTCTGGATACAAAACCGTTTCTCTCATGAAATGACACAGAGAATACCCACATCAGGTCCTTTCCACTGGTGGCCCACAGCATGAGTGGAGAACATGTCCTTATACGTCCTCTGAAGAGGGGGGATCCAGGCTCCGAGAGTCACATGGGAAGAGGCTAGCGCTACAACTCCACACTGAGGGGACATCTAGTGCCACCTCATTTCTTCCGGGCAGAGGGGACCTATGATGGCTGATTTAGGTACATGTACTTAGGTACATGCGGATGTCTTTGGCCAAAGCTCTGAAGCTTTGTCAAACCAGATCCTGGTGACTTCAGGTTCTTGGGTAGGCAGAAGCCAAGGCCACACAGTCTGGAGCAGTAGAAGCTAAGGACAAGCTGGGTGCTCTGTCCCCATGCTGTTTCACCCAGCCACCACCCATGCCCTAAAACCCTGCCATTAAGCTGTGAGGCACAAACCTGCCTCCTCCCACATACATGTAGGTTACAGCGCACTGCCAGGGAGAGCCCAGTGACTCCGCTGTGGCTGTCCTGGCCAGCCAGCCTTATGGCCAGACTCCTGGCTGTGCACCCAGGTGCTCTCTGTGTGTGGGCTTATGAGGGGCCAAGATAAAGGGAGGAGGGGAAGAGCTCTTGGGGCATGAAGCTCCAGGCTCCCAGGGAAGCTGACAGAGGCCTACAGAGGCAGGATCAGAACAGGGTGGCAGGGCCAGCCTTTGGGTTTTCTCTGTGTCATTTCATGGACAGTGGATCAGAGAGATTGTGAAGCGTTGCCCATTCTGCAAACTAAAGTGGGTTCAAGTGAAGTTGAATTAAGGTGCATTCCCTACCCTGCTGGGCCTTTGCTTCCTTGTCTGTAAAGCAGAAATAACAAGTCTACCTCTCAGTGTTGTTGGAAGGACCACGGGGGACCCGCACCTCCAGGACGAGGCACATAAAGGTTTGAAGCCCATATCAGGTGATTCTTCTGCAGCCCTAGAGGCAGAGCCCAGGGAAGGTCAGCCAGAATTGTCAAAGGGATGCTGTGAATAACAGCAAGTTTGAAATGGGGTTCTGGGCCTCCGCCTCAGCCAGCAGTTCCTAGTGTTTGTGAAAATCACCTGGGAAAACTGTCCCCTTCCAGCATCTCGCCCCAGGGAAGATCCTCTTGGCCAGGTTTTCCTGAAGGCAGCACCACCCCAAACCCAGGTGCCTTTACCTGCCAGGAAGCAGACCCGCCAGAGGCCTGAGTGCAGGGACATCCTGACCTCGGCGCTCTGGTTCTGGGGCAGGACCACACCCTCCTCCAGGTAGAGCCAGTAGTCAGTGCTGACGGCGATGCCCAGGAGGCCCAGGCCACAGACGGCAAAGACGCTGCTCAGCAGGGTCAGGGCCTTCCTTCCACAGGCGCTCATCTTGCCGGACTCTCAAGGGTGGCCAGCAGCACAGAGCAGGCTCTGGAGGAACAATGAGAGGAGCAGCTGGTGGTGGCTCGGAGAAAGCTGAGCAGAGAGTCCTGGAATAGTCACCTCCCAACACAATGGGTGATCAGAGACCCTACAGTCTGGATGCTGGGCCACTGCACCAGAGGGGCCACCCTCTCCCCTGTCCTTCAGGAATTCACAGCTTTCTCTTCATGCCACTGCAAGGTCCCCCTTGTCCTCTCTGACTTCTCCTTGTTGAGTACAACCACTTATTCATTTACTCACTCACTCATTCATTTACTCACTCATTCACTCACTCATTTTACTCACTCATTCACTCATTCATTCATTCACTCATTCATTCACTCACTCACTCATGATTCATTCATTCATTCACTCATTCAGCAACCCATGGTGGTAGACATGGGTAGTACAAAGGTGAATGTGATTCCTTCCTTGCCCTTGAAGAGTTCGCCATCTAGCAGAAATAAACACGCCAAAGGGGAGGGATGCAGCCCAGTGAGGGCCACGGCAGAGGCAGCAGACAGGAGGAAGGGAAGTGAGAGCTGCTGTGGAGAAGGCTGCTGAGGCTCCGGTGTCTCTGACAGCAGCAGGCTCCAGGGAGGGCAGTGGCAGCCACCTTGGGAAGAAGCAGAGGCGCAGAGAAGGATTCTGGGGGGAAGCGGTAACTCATGCGACTAAGCACCAACAGCACTGGGTTGACCCAGCAAAGAAGCCACGCTACACGCCGGGGTCAGTGGGCCTCCTCTAAGTTGAAACGCTCCCAGTCCTGACTGCACAGAGCATCTCGTTGGCAGAAGTCAGCTGTAAACCAGTCTGAGAGAAACCAAGAGCTCGTCCACTGCCACCTGTCAGGCCACGTGCTGCTCTGGGAGCAGGGAAGTGTCGGAAAATCAGGCAGGGGATGCTAGCCCCAGAGCCCAAGCCCTGTTAGTGGGTGCTGACCTTCTGCTGCCATCTAGGGTCTCCGGGAGAGTCTATAAATTCCAAATTTCAGAGAGATTTGGGTACAGCCAGTTTTCACCAGGATCTGAACAATGGTATTTTGGGGGGTATCAGAAATTGAACCCAGGATCTTGCACTTCCCAGGTAGGTTCTTTACCACTGGCTATATGCTTGGCCCAGAACAATGGTATTTAAAAAATGCTCCCAGGCAATACTGATATGAAAAAAAAAATACTGATATGAAACTCAAGGTAATGATTGATCTTTCCTGTTCAAAGTGTGGTCCGTGGGCCAGCAGTATTAGCTGGTTAGAACAGCAGAATCGCTGGCCTCTCCAATTTTACAAATCAGAATCCACATTTTTAACATAATCCAGGCGAGCTGTCTGCCTGCTGAATTCTATAATTTTTTTTTTTTTACATTTATTTATTGTGTGTGTGTGTGTGTGGCCAGCTCAGCCCACCAGGGGGCGCGGCTGGCTGGCATGTGGTGCTGGGGGATCGAACCGCGGTCCCTGTGCTTTGCCGAGCTTGTTCCAAGTAGGTGCTTTAGACCACTGAGCCATCTCTCCAGCCCCTTTTTTATAATTTTTTTTTTTTTTTTACATCTGCCTGCTGAATTCTGAGAAGCACTGTGCGAAGCAAACAGGTGGTGGAAAGGGGGCATCTCTTGAGCCATCTGCAGAAAAGTGTGGGCCTGGGGCCGTGCAGACAGTGAGGGTCACTGAGCTAGCCTCACTGCCAGCACCCTTCAGTATTGTAAACCCAGGGATTCTGAAATAGGAGAAAGGAACAACACCTTGGTGAGGTCTGCCAAGCTTAATGATAGGTTCTGGCCCGGGTATAAATTGCTGAATTATTATGGTGGTCATCTAATATGGCTGAGGCCCTTAAAACAACAGCTTATCTTCCCAAGACCACCTCCCCACTTTTTCTCCAACTCAGCCCAGAGTGCAATTTCCTTTCATCTTTCCTGTTGCCTCAGGGAAGACCCCAGTCAGCTCCTCAGGTATACCCAAACATCCCCCTCAGACTCTACCCCTGGCAAAAAGGTCATAAAAGCTTTGTTCCCAACCAGAGAATCCCTTATTTTCCCCAGATTCTTTCTGTGTCCTCAAAGATAACAAAGCCCCCTTCTCTTTCTCCTTCTGCCTGTTTTCTGCTGCAGCGCCACCAAAAACCTATCACTTAGGATCCTGTTGATGTCCCTGGGGTCCTACCAAGGGATGGTGTCAGATCTCAGCTAAGATTCGAGGCACAGGTAGATACTGAGACAGCTAGACAAGGACAGAAGCCATGCGTGACAACGGAGCTGAGCTGCGTACAGGAAGGAAGAGTGGTAGAGACTGGTGCCAGAAGTGGGGTTGCTACCCTGACTCCACAGCACTAGCTGTGCTCTAACCCCTGGCTGTGGGAGAAGTGATGGATGTACAGGAAGAGCCCCCTGCTGGCTCACTGGAGGCGCGTGCACGTTCGTGCCACCTCTGCAAGGCAGGTAGCGTAACCCTTCACGGCTTAAGGAAGAAGGGACAAAGGAAACACTGAGTTATTCTACAACCAAGGGGGTCCTAGGTAGAGCAATAGTTCTATGGAATATTCTAGAAGACAAAAAGGGATTCTGGTTAGAAAAAGTAACTTGGGTAGCACTGAAGAATCACACTGCATGTTATATTAAAGAGTGTTTGGCTTTTGTTTATTCCAGAATTATCCAAGATTCCTTCAACACAAAACGGCATCCTATTCTGCACGACCCACTTTGGGGACCATGCGGGGAGACCTGCTCTGGCCATTGCTGGGGATTATGCAAGGGGAGAGATGACCGTGCTTTGAAAATCTAAAGCGTGGGGCTGGGAGAAGTTCTTAAATAAGGCAACGATGGGCTAAGCCCCTTCTTGGGGAGCCGACAGATCCGAGCTCCTGAAATACAGCAGCCGTTGGCTGGCAGAGGCTGTGCAGCCAATTTCCATGTTAAGCTTGGCAGAGAGATGAGGAAGATTCATGTCTTGGTGATTTGGAGAGATGAAAGTGGAGAGGGGATTGGCTCTAAATCTAAACGAAGACGCTGTTTGGCTCTACGACAGCAGACCCCCAAGCTTGCAGAAAACCCCAAGAGTCAACCCTTGAGTCTGTGGCAGATTTGTGAAACTCCACATGGGGTGAAAATAACAATCTTACTCATTGGTAAACTACATGTATGCTGTTAATATAATTTACATATGTATGAATAAATAATATTACGGACAGTCCCAGCTAACTACCAGGCACTGTGCAAAGCCCCATATGTACCGTCTCTCACCAGGACCTCGTAATGATTCATGAATTAGCCCCATTTCATGGGCGGGGAAACAAGAATTTGAAGATGCTAAGGAGCCTCCAGGCAATCATAGTTGAGGGGCAGACTGTGGATTTAGACTAGATCTGACTGTAAGGTCTGTGCCTGGTGGATGCCATCCTTTACTGGAAAAATAAGTGGGCTTCAGGAGTGTGGGGATGAACTAGGTCACTTAGGGAATCAGAAATATGTAAGACACAGTATTGGGAAAACTTTCTAAGTGGCTGCGTGTCCCATAAAGGCTTTATGCTTTGGGGCTTCCCGTGGGATAGCACGGGTCAGACCTTCTAGTACCAGTTGCATGCTGGTACATCCTGACTCAGCAGTTCCGATGCAGAGAGCTACCGCGTAGGGGGCAGGAATAATAGTTCCCCCCCCCTCACGTAAGGCAATGGAGTCCAAGGCCATGGAGTGCCTGAGGTCACCCACTTGCTCCTGGGGGAGAGAAGGGCTTGACAGGTGAATATTACGGATGCTTATCCAATACCTTTTTGTCTGTATTGCATGGAAAATAACACAGAAAATGAAAATTATGTGTATTTTCCATGTCTACGAACAGCACCATTGTTAGTATCTTATTTAACGGCTGTTGGCCATGTGTCCCCTACATGACTGTGCACATTCACCCACCCGGGGGCTTCTGGGGACCCTGAGAGACGCTCTAGTCAGGAATGGACTCTCGGCTCCGCATAGGCGGGCCAGCTTGCCTCAGCCTCTGCTGCTGCATGGGTCCTTCTCCACCTCACGACTTCCATCGCTCTTCCACATTCAGAGCTTTTCTGATGAGACAGACTTTTTAAAAATAAACTGCCACTACACAAAAATACGTTTACCCTATAATGTTCCGCAAACAAATCTGCCTGTAATACCACACATTTAACGTAAGACTAACTGTGTGAACAATTAGACTGGGCAGGAATAAACCAAAATGACGATGGGTGCTCCTAGGTATTAAGAGCGTATATGGGGTAGCCGCTGTAGACTTCTCCAGGCTCAACAAAGGTCCAAAAGAACACCTATTATTTCCAGGGCCTGAGAAGAAGACCAAGCTTAAGATTAGAGATGCCAAGTTTCAGTCATGGCTGTCATAAACAAAAAATCAGCGCTTCTGCTCATTTCTGGGCTGGAGACATCAAAATGCAAGGTCGCCCTTTGGAAATGTGCTCAGGAGCTCAGCGGCTTTCAGTTTTTAAAGATGATTACCCAGGACCATTACCTCTGAGTATTAGCTTGTTAATTATCGGGAATTAACAGTAACTAATTATCATGCGTGACTAGCAATTAGGGAGAAATGTCATGTGGAGACTGCATCAGTAATAGTACACTCTCTGCCCAAGTCAGTAATCCAAGGACTTGCAGTGAGGTGCTTCGGGGCTGAGAGGAGGCAGGAGAGGCTACAGGTGCTCGTGGAGGTCCAGCTTCAGGACTAGAGGAAGGAGGAATGCAGCTTAACTGGGCAAGAGTAGAAAGAAGGTGGAAGGAGAGTCACATGCAGACACCCTGATCTGTTTCCTGCAAGTCTGAACAAACCCCAGTAGCTCTTTGATGAAGAAGGGTTTGGGAAATAAGGGTTCTTCACCAGGCTTCAGAGCCAGCAGCAGAAGGTGCTCCTGTGAGCTGATTCAGTGACTCAGTGGCAGCATGGGCGACACCCAGCAGGATTAGCTGGCGATCTAAGGACATCCCCAGTGCTTTCCTGGCCCTGCCTACTCCCATGATGGCATTCTCTTTATCTTCTGTGGTGGTTCACAGATGTTCCAAAATTTCTCCTACTGAGAAGTGAGGGCTACATCTCTTCCCCTTGAGTCTAGGTAGCTTTGTGATCCCATTGATCAATAAAGTCTGCAGAAACAATGCCGGGGCCTTCCGAGGATGGCTCCCTAGACAGACAGTGGCCAAGTGCAGCAGCCAACACTGTAACCCAAGGTATTCAAGAGGCTAGAGGACTGCAAGTTCAAGGCCAGCCTGAACAACTTAGACCACATCTCAAAATAAAGAGGGCTGGGGATGTAGCTCAATGATAAAGCATCCCTGAGTTCAATCCTTAGTACCCCACCCCCTCACCAGAGCAGGGGGTGAGGAGGGAAGGAGGGAGGGAGGGAGGGAGGGACAGAGAGAGAGCGTGAGAGCTTCCTCTTGATTTTCTGAGGACTCATGTAAGAAGACGGCTTTCTCAACCTCAGCCCTACTTGTTGGCATTGGGCTCTGGATGGCTCTTTGTTGTAGGGGACCAGCATTTGTGCTACAGAATATTTAGCAGCATCCCTGGATTCTATCCACCCATTGCAAATAGCACCTCCAGTTTTTGACAGATAAAAACGTCCCTTAGGGGGCACAAGCAGCCCTGGTTGGGACCAGTGCTGTAGAGAGAGGCTCAGTAACACCATGTCTGACAGCCAGCTGGGTTCAAGCCAGTGGTCGTGACTGCCAGACACCGGACTGAGGCATCCTGGGTGGGTGCTGCCGACCAGCCGGGCCTTTGGGTGACTGCAGCCCGGTCAGAATCTCACTGCACCAGCCTGAGAGGGCAACAGCAAGAGCCGCGCGGCTGAGGGTGCCCGCATCCCCGATCCCCCACGCTACAGGCAAGACAAAACCATCACTGCTGCGTAGAATTATTTTTTGAGGTGATTTGATACACAGCAGAAGTTACCAAAATAGCTTCGTATTCACTTAATTAGCATCTTCTCACTTTAGACAGGCTGTAAACCCAAGGTGTGAGTTTGCACAGCGTGTAACTGAGACAGAGGGCCTGAGGGTCATGGCTGATCCACGGGATTCACAGTTAATGAAGGAGTGACCGGCACATGCGACCGGACACCTCCGAGGTGGGATGGTGGCTTCCTATGGACCGTGCTGGACAAGTGATGCCTCTACTCTGAGCCTTAGACTCTTCATCTGTGAAACAGAGATAACATCCTAGGGCTTCTTGTATGGATTTATGAAAGTGGAATCAAAGAAGGATGGGCTACATCTTGTCTTCTTGGCACGATGCTGGAACAAGGAAGTAATAGAATTTGATACCCAGACAGTGGTAAACGCGGAGCAGAATTTAATAAGCTGACTTTGCCCCTCACAGGGGAAGAATGGCCTGGCCTTTGTCCTCTCCAGCCACCTGCCCAGCCTTCTTCTCATCACGGCAGTTGCTTCCTGCTGAGTTTTCTTCTTTCTGCCTCTAGCTCCTGTCTCCCTTCTTACCTCCATATCCATCAACTGGAGGAACTTCACATTTTCTCATATGAAGAGGTAATGTACCTGAATGATGATGTGGGATGTCTTCCTGCTGGGTAGTGTCATCCAGCGACAGTAAATATAGCTCAGCTAACAGAGAGAGTGCTTACGAGGTGCCAAGCGCAGCAGGAGCCCAGCACCCAAATGCAGTGCATCACGGCAAGTCTGCAGACCTGAGTGTCACCACCCACCCGCTCTCCTCATTTATTCCTTTGTGGATAGAGACGCGGCCGCCCACCGTGTAGCCATGAGCCCCCTGGCTGGGGGCTGATGCGTGGCCTGTTTTTCCCTGCTTGTCCCACTAGCCTATCTCTCCCACATTGCTGGTGCTCATTGGCGAGTCTGAATCCCGCTGGCTGAGGATTCACTGTCCTTTGACAAAGGCAAGATCCAAGAAATGCACTCTGCATGTCAAGCACTCTGCCCCAAAGACTAAGAGCAAAGCCACAGCCAGCCCGCCCGCCTGCTGGGACTTCAGGCTGCGGGGCTCTGGCACAGCCCTGTTACATGGGGTCCCAGGCCTCCTGGGGTGGAGGTTATGTCTATAAAATTCCTCACCCTTCACTTGTCAGGAGGTAAGTAATGGGCCCATCTCCACAGGGACCAAGTGGCATCAGGGGGAACCAGCAATGATCACTGCTCTTGGCAGCAGAAGTCCAGCTGGAAAGACAGATAATCATGGCTTGGCTGAAGGTCCAGAGAAAGCCTCACAATGCATCCACGTCGACGATGGTTCTCTTGGGCCGTGGCCATGGCCCGTGCTCAAGTGCAAAGCCATCTGATCCATATCACTAACCAAGTAGCAGAGTGGTAATCGCATCACAAGCATATTTCCTTTGCAGACTTTCTCTTTGTAAGCTGATGTATATGTAAAAAATGGGACCACACAGTATGTACCAGAGTGTAGTTTGATATGATTTTACTCAATAGCATCAATATTTTCTGCAGCAGTTTTAGTAGCTTTATAATACGTATTCTTTGATTTGCACATATCAAAACTATTTCTATTCTGTGGAAGAGCTAAGATTTTTTTTTTCTAAAAATTTCCCTATTGCAAACAATAAATGAACACATTTACTGTGAAATATCTGTGGGCATCTGTCTTTTTTTCAGGATGAACTCCTGAAAATGGAATTTCTAAAGAAATGAGCCATTTCAGCATTCTGGAAAGAGTGGGCATACCAGGGCTGAAAGACTCAACGGTGTTCCTACCCTTGCTATCCTGAGCACAGCAATGGTCCTAGGGCGCAGATGCAGGATGTCACCCTTCCTCGGTGCAGAAGAGCCCTCCCTTCTCTCTGCTGGAAACCCAGCACCGGACCCCGCTCTGATCGCTGTTAGCTGCGGCAGTCAGATTTGCTAGATTAAGACTCCTAGGCTAATGACAACGTTCCAGGAAGTGCCGAGGCTTCTCCTGCATAAGTATCTTCTACCAGTGCTACAGTTTTCATGTTAGGTGTCCCCCAAAGGTCCATGCGGTAAAGGCTTGGCCTCCAGGCTGGTGCTATGAGGGTACCTTTAAGATGTGAGTGCCGGGAACCAGCAAGATAGCTCAGCAGACTAAGCGCCTGCTTAGGCAAGCGCAGGGGCTGGGGTGTGATCCCCACAGCACATGCCATGAGCCTCACATGTCTCATTGGACCTGCCCCCAGGTGTGCTGAGCTGTCCACCGAGTCTGGTCATGGTGGTGCACGCCTGTGATCCCAGGCTGAGGAGACTGAAACAGGAGGGTCACTACAAGTCTGAGCTGCGTAGCGAGACTCTGTACCAAACTCATGTAAAAAAAGAGGCGAGTCCTAGTAGAAAGTCTGTAGGTCAGTGAGACACATGCTCTTGAAGGGGATTTGAGGACCCCAGCCCCCTCTTCTCCTTCCTTCTTTTGCTTTTGGCCCTGAAGTGAACATTTTGTTCTCCAGTGTACTCTTGTCATGCTGTGCAGTCCCAGGCCCAGCAGGGGGACCAACCAATCACAGAACGACACCTTCAAGACTATGAGCCAAATGAACCTTTCCTTTATAAGTCGACTAGCTCAGGTATTTGCTATAGGAAGAGGAAGTTAACACAACCAGAGACTTGGAACTTTCGCAGATGCTTCTTTGTCATCACCCCTGCAAGATGTAAACCTACCGACCGCGCCCTGGGCAACATCAGCTGGAAAGCAGTCAGCAGAAGTCACACGCTAGTGCTACATAAACAAAATCGAATGAAAATATTTTTAAAAGATGAAAAATAGGGCCAGGGAGATGGCTCAGTGGAATAAGTGCTTCCCTGGCAAGCACAAGGGCCTGAGTTCAATCCCCAGTTCCGAAAAAAAAAAAAAAAAAAAAAAAAATCTCAAAACCATGGAAAACATAATAAAAGGTTGATAAGTAAGATACTTTATTACATTTTTAGACAGGAAAACAGTGACGTAAACATGTCACATCTCCCCCACTCCACCAATTCAGTGAACATGCTGTCTTTAGAAGATAACCCATGCCTCTTGGGTTAATGTAGAGGGGGAAACATTTGACAATAGCCAGGGCAATCCCTTAAAAATGGAGATAAACGTGTAGGAAATACCATGTATTTATGTTTATGATGCAACTATAACAAGGAAGACAGTTTAATTTTTTTTAAAAAAATCTAAAAAAAATTATCAATGAGATTTTTAAAAAGCCATTTGTGGCTATGATTGAGTAGCTTGTTAAAAGGCCATTCTAGGGCTGGCCTGATAGCTCAGTGGAATAAGTGCTTGCTTTGGCAAGCACAGGACCGAGGTTTGATCCCCAGTCCCGCATGCCCGCCGGCCCTGCCCCTGGTGAGAACTGAGCTGGTGAGGCGTCTGGGTGTGGTGGCACACACCTGTAATCCCAGGGCTGGAGAGGCTGAAAACACGAGGATCACTACAAGTCCGAACTGTGCAGGGAGACCCTGGACCAAATATATAAATGGAAAAAAAAAAAAAAAAAAAAAAAAAAGCCAGTCTGGCTATGATTAACTAGTGTGTATCATCAGATCAGATCATCTTCCTGCTGAGAATAATGAGAATGGTCGTCTAAAACGTAAAAAGGTCTATCTGACCACGTTGGAGAGCAATCAAGGAAAAAGAAGATTTTAGAGGCCAGACACTGAGGATAAAGGAAGTGCCCTGAGACGAGCTTGGCTTTTTGTCCAGCTTTTCCGCTCAAGCGAAGTGCGTGCCACCTCGAACTGTGCGGGGGGGCGAGGCGCACACGAGTCGTGCTGGGGGGGCAGAAGGGGCGCCCAGAGCCTGCAAAGGGCAGCATCTGGCTAGTGGCCCACGCTTCTGTGAAGGGCCTGAGTGGCCCGGCTGGGGAGGCTCCCGTTCTAGGTCAGCGGTGGCCGATCTGTGGCAGGCGACCGCAGAGGGTCGCTGGCGTCGCCGAAGGCTCTGCGAGGCTTGCCGTCCTGTGGGTGAAGAGAGGCGAGCCTCTGCCAGGACTGAAGTCCTTCCTGCAGCCAGCTGGATTTGGGACGGTGAAGGCGGCCTCGTCCAAAAGGAGCGCCTTGGGAAGGGTAACCCCCGCAGGCTCC